CGCCTCGGCGGGCGGCGGGCTTCCGCTCGGGCGGCGCAGCCTCTCTCACCGGAGGGCCGTCCCGTCTATTGGCGACCCGAGCCCCGCGTCTCCGGCTCCGAGCCGTCTCGAGTTGTGCCGAAGTTGTCAACGTTAACCCCTTCCCCCTGCTCCAGCCTTAAATGTCGTGTCGGACAAGTGGTCTAAAGCTCGCCCGTGTTAAATCGTTCGATAACTCGGGCGCCGATGGTTGGGGTTGTATACGCTCAACGAGCCTCTCGGCGGTTGAGGCGACCATCGGGCGGGTCGTGAGAACATTGGATGTGAAGAAAGTGTGATGAACTTGGTTCACGTAAAAGACGTAACCTGATTTTAACGTACTCGGAGATGTAATTCCAATATAGAGAAAAGCGTGGTCCCCCCCCCCTTCAAGGTTGCCTGCCTTCCCTACCTAGTTGTTAGATTAAAAGCAAAAAATTTAATTCTGATTTTGATTGCCACCTTAGGACATTTTAATTCCCAGTGCGTTGACGGAAGTTTAAAAGGAATGTCCTCATTTAGGAACATAATTCTTACTTTGAAAACTTAAAGGCTAAGCTCTGGGTTAATCTACTTTTTGGATAGTTACCATGTTGGGGTTCTTCTGGGCTATACAAGGCTTACGTTAATATGTTCTTAATGATAAGGCCCTGGGTTTGTCACAGATAATGTTTTAATACCACTTTTTCAAACACTATGGGTTTTTTTTTTTATTATTATTTCTTAAAGATTTTATTTTTAAGTAATCTCTACACCCAGCGTGGGGCTGGAACTCAGAACCCTGAGATCAAGGGCACTGCTCTGTGGACTGAGCCAGCAAGGCGCCCCCACCCTTTACATTGTTTCTGTTTTCCAGGATGCAGTCTGTCTTGTAAAACCTCTCCTGTTGTTTGGAAGAGGGGGTTGTGTTTTTTAGTAGCAAAACCACAAGACGCAATCATCAGTCACAGTCACTCCAGAAACATTGTTGTCAACCCTAAGTCAGTCTCTGCTGACTTAAAGATGAACAAAATTTGGATTGTGATCTCAAGGAACTGGAGGGGAGGAGGTGCTTGTCCCGGAAAGCATAATTAAAGTAAAACGCACCAAAGCTTGTTAAGTGCTGTGGAAGAGGCTCGCAGGAGGCCCCCCGGGGAACTTACCTGTAAATACCATCCTAAATGAATGGCCAGCTCTGCTGGGAAAAGAGCCTTCTCTGAGCGTGGACTTAAGAAGATGCATCATTAATTTCATTCTTGAGCTTGTAATAGTGCGGTGACTTCTAGTCCGTGGATTTTTCTTCCCTGTTCTTGTAAAAAGCTCCTTTGGGTGGTGCTTTTGCTGTACTCAGCAACACTTTTAGTTTAGAAGTTTATTCCAGTAACCTTTTTTATATTCCTGATGTAAGTAACCACATCTCAGCCTGTTAGAGCTGTCCTATAGTAAAAGGCATGGCTTTAATTTGGGAAACGAGATTACTCATAGTCTCATTTTAGGGGGACTTGTGGGGTTTTAAGTTCCAGGAGACAGTATCAACTCCTAAAAAACAAAGGTGATGATTCCTGCTAACTTTTTTTTTCAAGCTAGAAGTAAAACGTAGGTGTGTACCAGTTAAAAAGATTTAGATAGTCCTACATTTGAAGTTATGGACGTTTTCTAAATCCAAGCAAAGGTTAGTTCTCTAATTTCTTCTCTGTGATATTGGGTCACACTTTTTTATTTTTTATCTTTTATTTCAGTAGTTTAATAAGTGGATCACTAAAAGTTTATTACTAGGAAAGTTTGACTGATATACTAATCTCTAATTGAGCATTATGAAATGAAAGCCATCTCTGGAAGTACAGGAACAAAGATTGTTTTAATTATAGAGAATAGCTGGGTATTGTTCAGGTGGGGGTGTTGCCCATTCTGAGGTATTCTTAAAATAAGCTCTTCGTTTTCAGGTGACTTTCTGAAGATGTAAGTTATATATTCAACTTAAATTACGTAAAGTAAAACTTAATACGATGAGTTTGCAAATATATATAGTAATCATTTTCCTCCCCTGATAAATTCAGACTTCCCTGTGTTTATTGCTACCTAATAATAAATCAGTGGCTAATTGATATTTGTGAACCATCAGATTTTGTTGAGGCTAACTGGATCAGCTGTCTGAACATGGGGCACTTGCTAAAAAATTGAATCTACAGGGTAACCCTCCCACCTCTGCAAGTCTAACTTTGAATGGGGCCCATCCAGTAAGATTTCATAATTCATCACAGGTCTGAGCCACCTGACGTTGCTGTCACGATGGCTGGATTGCTAGTTTTGATATCATCTGGATCATCCCAGTATTTGAACACTAGTAAGGGAGGAGGCCTTATGTAGGAACAGGCGGATGAATTCCCCAATAGCTTGTCTTTGGTGTATTGAAACCAGGAGACTGTTACTTCAGACCTGTGTTTGGAAATTTCCGGTTGGTCTGGCATCATGAATGAGAGAATATGGACTTCGTTAGATAATGATTGCATTTAACGAGCGCTATGTATGAAGCGCACACGCTGTCTCTGATTCTTGGAACAAAGCCACCTTGGCATTTTCCTCATTTTACAGATGGTTCCTGGGACCAGGAGAGGTGGGGTGACTTGCCCAAGCCCAGGTGGCTAGTGGCAGAGTCAGGATCTTAACCCTCACCGTGCTGTATTGGTGTCCTCAAGAGAGAATTTCATCATAGAACACTAGAGAACTGATACGTTTTTAAATTAAATTTAGTTTTAAACTAAATATTCAATTTAAGAGAAAACAATAGAGCAGAGCAAGTAGCTGAGAGTGGAGTGGATACGGATGAGGGGTCCCATGGGGTTCGAGCACCTGTCATTGAAAGAGTAGCGTGTTCGTCAGGAGGCAAATTAAAGCGAAGTCTTCCTGAAATGCTGCCGGGAAAGGGAAAGGTACCTGCTACCCCAGAAACCCGTATGCCTGTGTTTGCCTGAAGCAAAGGAAAAGCAGTTCGGTAGCATGTATCGTGGTGTTGACGTATGTGCATGTGTCCGTCTTCCCAGCAAAGTAATCCACTCTTATTTTCCCTTACAGAGTCAACTGTTCATTTTATTTCAAAATTGGAGCATGTCGTCATGGAGACAGATGCTCTCGGTTGCACAATAAACCGACCTTTAGCCAGGTTTGTTTGTTTTTCCTTTCTTTTTTCTGTTTTCATGTAAATTATCAAAACTTCATGTACTTTACAGAGGCAGTTAATAATTTCCATGTATTACGTAGGACATTTTTTTCTCTAGTGGTTCTATTCTCCATTTGTGTTCGTGAGTTTGTTCTTCTGTTTAAATGAGAATGAGGCAGGTGAGCCACTCCAGGGGGCGGTCTCTGAGACAGGTCCCTCCTCTCACCATTTGGGAAGCTTTTTACAAAGACGTGCTCAGTGTTTGCGTGTTGGCTGTGCCTGGTCTCTGCCGCCTTGCCACCCCTTGTGCCCCTCCGTAGACGGGTCCAGCAGGGGCGGCTGCTTCGGCACGAACTTAGCTGCTTTTGCAGGCACCAGTAGAAGCCGAGGCCGGCGGGCTTTGTGCTCTTTGCCCTCCAGGCAGCCGAGACCGACCGAGCCGCCCACAGGAGAATGCTCTTGCCATTCTCAGCAGGGCTAGCTTGCCACACGCTCAGGGCTTCTCCAGCAGTCCTGGGTGCGCCCCCTCTTTCAGAACCCCACGCGAGGGGAGAGCAATGACATCATGTCATAGAAACATGAAAAATGTCACTTAACTTTAGAAGATGGGCATTTACCTTCAGTTATTTGTAGCCGGTCTATTTGGTCAGTTGAGAGATGCTGCCTGTTAGCTTGAGTTTAGGTCTGCTGTGAGTTCAGATCAATCAGAAACTGATTTTTGGTAGGTTTTGTTCGTTAATCGAAGAACAGGCAAGGGTTTGCACCCTGCAAGTGATCACTGATGAGTTAAAGGGAGAAAGCACCTGTAATAGGGACAGAAAACTTCCGCCCATGTTTATCTGAATGTTTGGAATTTGAAAAACTATAGTCTTTCCAGACTGAGGACTTTTGAGCTCCTTTCAACTTACGGCGAAGTCTGAGTGAGCATCCCCCGAACCATTGGGTAACTATGGTGTGTAGCCCCTGGAAGCTGCCGGACTCTGCCTTTGAGCTCACATTGTTCTGTTCACATCTTTTAAACTTCTGACAGAACAGATATTTACGTTTTCCTGTGAGTATTTAGGAAAATGAGCCAATTGCTATAAGAGAGAGACATTTGTATTTTCTAATTTAAGCCCATAGAAAACCCTCAGTGTAATGTGTTTTTAGAAGGAGGGTGATGGCTTCCTTTCCCCCATTATTCTACTGATAACGGCGTGGTTGGTATAACAAGAATCTAAACTTACGAATATGTCTCTCTGAATTTCAGAATATCGGAGATCTTGCTTTAAACTTTGTTTATTGCAACTTTTTTTAAGTGCTTTGATTTATGAACTAAATCTCCCCAACTAAGCCGGTGGTCAGAGATTGGGCAGTAACCAAATGTCATAAGTGTCCACTGAGTTTTTTTATTTGGGGGAGTTACTTAGAGATGTGCCAAGTGTTGGGCTGAGAGGGAAATGATCCTGTCAGGAAAGTTTTCTTTAAGTTATCCAGAGACACTTGGTTTATTTTCTATATGAATCACTAATTGCCTCAGAATGTTAATGTGAAGTTAATTTGAGTACTGTGGGTCAAAAAGAGATAGTGATTCCATTAATGTTTGGTGGGGTCCATTGTATGTGTTTACCTGAGCATCTCGTTCTGATTGGCTTGGTTGGTTGGTTGGTTTCAGGCAATCCTGACCTCCCCCGATTGTAATAGAACTGCATTGCCCCATTTGAGTGAAGTTTCCTTCACTAAACAGCCACTGCCAGATGACCTGAGTGAGACCTAAAATGAATTTCTTGTTGAATAATTAGGCTCAGTATAGCTCTATATCAGAGTTGTTACACATGCTGGTGATTCCAGTTGAAAACAGAGTCAAGTCAACTTTGGGAAATAGCCGAGGCTTAGATAAGGTGACCCGGGACAGTACTTGATGGCCCGGGGAAGATGCCACGCCCTGCAAGAAGGGTCTGCGTGTGTGCATGTGCGTGTGTGTGTGCGTGGTCTGGCTGTTGGATGTTCCTCCCTTGGGGTTTCCCCACAGCAGACCTTTGGGGAGTACCCACACAACTTCTTTCTGGAAGTGTAGCTAGAAATAGAATGACTGCTTTTGTAAAACCACTCACCAAACTGCTTTGGACCTATGTTGGTTGAGACTGAACATTTATTTTTCTAAATCATGCAGTTTATTCATTCAGCTTGTAAAGTTCAGTGTGGGTTTCTTTTTAAGCTTCTTGCAGTGATGTGGACATTAAGATTCATGTAATATATTAGCCTACTAACTTAAACATGGTTTGTTTTTTCAGACAACTTGATTTTAAGAAGAACGGTACAATGTAAGGTTTCAAGTCTGCCTGATCCAGTTTAAAGCACAAGGGCTAAAAGGATTTTTTTCCCTTAAAAGAAGGATCGGAAAAGAACAGATGTTTAAGCTATTGTATTATGTAAACAGAGGTCCCCCCAAGCAAACAGGAATGTGTATAGATACGTGTCCGTGACAGTCAGGACACCCATTTGGTGCGCCTGTTTCCTGTGAGACCAGACAGCTTGATGGACTGCATACAGTTGACTGACACATTTGGTTTTAAAAAATATAATTTTGTGTGGGGAATATGATTATCATGTGAATTTTTCGACATCTTAGCATCTGCTAGCTTGAAGTATAAGAAAACGTTAGTGTGATTTATTTTTCACTAAAACACTTGAATGACGTGGGACCACTGAGAATAACGGCTACAGTTTCTTCTTGGTTGCTGGCTGACTTGACCGAAGTCACTGCTCACACTCTGTTTTCATAATATGATGGTTTGGGTGTGCTCTTCAGAGGACAAGTGTCTGACTTGTGGGAAACAAACAAGCAAGCGTTGAGCCATTTGCAAACAAGTTGTCTCTTTGCAATTGTCTAATACATGCACAGCAGCCAGTAGAATTCCCCTTTTTATTTTTTTTTCCCCGCAGACCATCTTGATTCAAAACATCTATCGTAATCCCCAAAACAGTGCACAGACGGCTGACGGCTCACACTGTAAGTCCCACAGTTGGAGAAATTTTTTTAAAACAATGGTGTTAAAGAGCCCACTCTTAATTGAGACAAATAATGTTGGCTTCTGAGCTGCTGACATAGAGCTGTTGCAAACAGGACAAGGTGCTGGGAAGCCTTGGTACCTACAGCAAGAACCTGGTACTTGGCCACGTTCAGGAGGCTGTCGTCGGCAAGGGCGCTGGGGAGGCCTCTTCCCTGGATTGACGTTTGTTAACGAGAGGGAGGGGGTCTGTCCAGGTGACACCTGACAGCTACCAGCCAATCACTGGTCTTTCCAGTGCCTGAACCCCTGGCCTTTATTAAGTTCTTTCTGTAAAGTTACAACTCTTAGGAATATTTAGGAATCAATAAGGTAAGTTGCCCAATAAGTGTGGGTTTTATTTCACCATTACAGTTTTTCCTCTAGGAAGTGGAGATTTCATGATATGTAATTATTGTATTTCTCTGCTCCTGTGGTTTTTGTCATCAGTTGATGCAGGCACTTTCTCAGCTCATGACGTGTTCTGTAATATGGAAGACCATTTTGGTAGTAACCTGCCAAGTTGCTTGCATTTTGACCTGGATTGGAACTTGGCAGTGGGAAATCTTTGCGTCCCGTGAACAGAAATACAATATCAGCATATCATGGGATCTCTGTGACGTTGCAGTGTTAGGGCGCTCCAAGACAGCCACCAGCTAAGAGAAAACATCTCTGCTTCGAAAGAAAATAACTTGCTCTTTTTTCAGCACTGAGTCTTGACTGACGTGATCGCCACAGGAAACCGGTTAAGTGTTTAAATTTAATTTTCCGTAATATAAAGTTGTTGCGTTTTGTATTTCAGACCATTGCCCTCTTGAACATTTACCGTAACCCTCAAAACTCTTCCCAGTCTGCTGACGGTTTGCGCTGTAAGTTCATACAAGTTCCTTCCCTGGTTCCCTGGGCTTGCGTGTCAGAGCTCAGTGTCCGCTCCACCTGGTCTGCCGCTGTAGGGTCAAGGACGGCCTTTCACTAGACGTGCCCAGAGCTTTTGTCCCACTGACCCCATGGAAGCCTCTGAGATTGGAACTCCTGCCCACTTAAGAAGTGAAAAATGACCGGAAAGGATACCCTCCCTGTACCGTAGTTTGGAGCTGCTGCTCTTCCTTTACCTTGACCGTCATCCTAGGGGAGAGTATACTTGGAATTAAATGTGCAGTTACATCCTTCCCCTCTTAAGAGCAACAGTATTTGAAAGTTTCTCTCACGTTAAGAAACTAATTGTTCTGAAGTTATTTTTGAGATTTTATTTTTTTATTAGACTTTTTCTTAAGCTCCATTCTGGAGCTCATGCTTTAATTGTGAGAGCATTGTTCCGAGGGCGTTTCCCAAATGAGGGTCCTCCGAGTTGCATGGACTCCCCAGAGTTTTCCTCAACGCCAGCCCTGTGCCGACTCAGTCCTTAATCAGAGTCCTTTGTGTAGCTGTCTGCAGCTGCAGGAGCTAGCTTACTACGTGTGGGGAAGAGAAGGTGTGTTTGGCAGGGAAACGGGGCTAAAATGGGCATTTAGTAGATATGGCCCATCTCTTCCTGTTTTGGGAAGTAATTTAAGTTACAAATGTTGTGTTTCCTGAGGGGTAGTTTTTCGAGAACAGGATCCATGTTAGTGTCACTGGAAATTTCAGAAAGCTAAAATTTAAATTTTATGGCTCTTGAGCCATGGAATCAATTTCTTCATCTGGATAAATTGAAGCAAACATCCTGGACTCCTGTTAAAATCAAGGGGTCCAAACCAAACAGCTTCATTCACCAGTTTGTTTTGAAGCTGCAAAAATTCATAGAAGGTGCTGTCCACAGATGCCCCTGGATAGCCACAGATCTAAGTCCAACACACCCTTGGCCCACAGCCCCTCAGCTTATAGGGCGATCTACACTGAGTGGAATGGTCCCAGCATTCCACTTGCCCACTTGGGCTGGCCCCAGACAGAGGGTGCCTCCCAGTTGTGCATGTGTGAGTGCACCGGTCTGTGGGGGAGGGGCTTGTAAGGTTTTCCTGCCGAGACACTGTTTCTCCACGCTGATCCTGACCGGTTAGCGGATCATTTGTGTCCCTGAGTCTGATGGTAACAGGATTTACTTGGTAGCCCTTGTTTTAAAATACTTGGTTTTGCTTTGTTTTCTTAAAGAAACAAGATCAATAGGTGGAGGGAAATGCTTATATATGGACTTATTAAATAATTTTTGTAACAACCCTGCCCTGGGGTAAAACGAATGAGAGGTTGATGATTGAGTAACAACAATTAATCATTCTTTGCCCTGATCGTTTACCTGGGGACTGCGGATGCTTCGTTGACAAAACAATGTTGGATTAGTTTTCTTCGTGTCTTTACCTGCGATTCACAGTGCTCTTGTTGTGCGTATGCTACAGAATAAAAGTTTAGCTGTACCAAATATTCTGATTATGGGGTCCAGATTCGACAAATTAAATGAAATTCCGATTTTTCAATTTAGGAAGAAACCCATTTAAGCTGATGAACCTGCAACAGACGCTTCGAGTAAATTTCAACCAGTCAGGTTCATCAGTTCCCCTAAATTTACAACTTTTTAACATACCCTTTCATCTATAGAATTATGAATCCCAGTTTAAGAATGTTTCTGTGAGAAAACTGGGTATTTTCAGGTGGTGGTCTGTAAAATCTATTGAGTCATGTAGATGACTTTGCAGTTACCGGTTTCTTAATCACTCATCTCTGTTCTGCCCGAGTCATTTGGTTGACTGAAAATTTTTAAGCGGAGTATAGAAGGTAAAATAGGCCCACTATGGAGCATTTTCATATCTCACTTTACAGAAGTTTACTAAGATACCATACTGTTCTCCAGTGAGAGAATAGAATTATCATGAGTGCAACAGTATTTGAACCACCACCAGAGCCTGATTCTCAACACTACTAGCACTTTGAGCGTGCAAATATCTTTTGTCTTCATTTTTTTCTGATGTGAGAAGGGAATGTAAACATTAAAATCTGCCTTTTGGAATAGGCTTCTATTCTCCCGTCTAGCTGTTCTGTTGTTCAGAGCCTGATTTCTACGCAGGGAAGGAGGTTTTGTTCACGATAGCTTTTAAATTGGACTGGGCCGTCAGGAGTAGTTGTTGCCTAATGCATTCAAGAGGTTTCGGGTTCTAAAGCAAGCTGGATTCCTGGAAATTCAAAAACAACTAAAATGCAGGAATCGGGGCGCCTGGGTGGCTCAGTCGTTCGGCGTCTGCCTTCGGCTCAGGACCTGGGATCGAGCCCCACATAGGGCTCCCTGCTCAGTAGGAAGCCTGCTTCTCCCTCTCCCACTCCCCCTGCTTGTGTTCCCTCTCTCACTGTGTCTCTCTCTCTGAAATAAATAAAATCTTAAAAAAAATTAAGATAAAATGCAGGAATTCCCCCCTTCCCCCTCCCATGCATTAGAAAGTAAATTTCAACCATTCTCAGAATCCAAAGATTACAGTTCCTGTCCATAAAGAGAAGGTTTTCCAGAGAGCTAGGAAACTGCTCCGGGGCTGCCCAGTGGGTAGATCCCAGTGCCTTGGCTCCAGCACCCTCGGTGGGGTGCGCCCGGTGAGGCCAGGAGTGTGGTCATGGGAGGGGGCAATTGAACATTAAGCTGGCCCAGCCTTGAAGCCACTCAGCCTTTGTAGGCTCCTTGATCTAGCTGTGTGGAACACTGGTTTATTGACTTGCCAGCTTTGTGATTTCTCAGTTGTAGGTTAAGAGAATTCTAAAATTTGAAAGGTAACATTTAGTAGAGAGAATGATAATGAGGATAGAATGTAAACTTGAAAAAGTCTATCCACACAGTGGATGTGATTTCACTTAGTGCATGTGAATTATGAAGAATAAACTTGATGGAAATAGTTCCGGAATATAAGATAAGAATGCTTTCTTCAGCAAAGCATTGTAACTTTCCCTTTATTCAGGGGCATTCGAAGTACTGTAATTGAACTTGGTAATTATTGTACTGAGTCTTCATTTATGGTCATTTGGGTTTTAATCACATCAGAAAGAATTTTATAATAGCATTGTGTGGCTGCTAATCTGTAAAAGAAACTAGTCAGGAACATTAGCTCTTAATCACTTACCCTGATTTCAACTTCTTTTATTTTAGCCTAATAAAGAGGAAAAAATCAGTGTGATTCTTTGGCCTCTATTTTAAATCGTGAAAGGAAGAAAATTTTCATTTAAAAAATTTCTTGAGGGTAATTTTTTTCCTTACACTTTCTGAAAACATGGCCCTTTGATGCTGATTAAAACTTGTTGTGATTTTAATAGCCAGAATTGAGACTGTCATAAGGGGCATTTAAAAACCTCACCACACTTTAAAATTTTAACAATTGGCTGTCCCGCAGTATCTTCAGTGCTCCAGTAGAATGCAGCTCTGTTGTGTTTCCTCTCTAGATAATCTAATGTGTGTTACTGTAGCAGTTTGAGTTAAACGCAGAGTTCTCTTGGTTAAGGTTCCCTCTCTAACCAGCAAGATTTCTGTTGTTTACAGGCGCTGTGAGTGACGTCGAGATGCAGGAACACTATGACGAATTTTTTGAGGTGAGATACTGTTGGAAAGTGATAGACCTCTTTGCCTTTTCTGTTTGGAAGGCATTAAATTTTTTTCCTCATTAATAGATACCCTTAAATAGGAGTTATATTCGGTTACTCCTTTATCTTTAATGTATCGTGAGCCTTAAACCCTTGTCCTCCCCGCAGGAGGTTTTTACAGAAATGGAGGAGAAGTACGGTGAAGTTGAGGAGATGAATGTCTGCGATAACCTTGGAGACCACCTAGTCGGGAACGTGTACGTCAAGGTGAGGAGAGTGTGACAGGTGGGGGGTTGTGTCTCCTGACTGATGCGGCTGCCGAGTGAAGACCCCGGGCCTCCGGATTTTAGCTGTGAACTTGGAAGTTCTGAGCGCTCACTACTAGCCGTGGATTTTCATGTGCTCAGGCGTTTGCTGGCTGGAGCCCGGATATGGCAGCGGCCTGGGGGTGCAGGAGGGAGGGACACCACGGTCACCGGCTGCTCCTCCCTGTCGGGATCTCTGCAGCTGTTGCTGATGGGCTGTCTAGACACAGGAGAAGTTGGTTTATTTATTTATTTATTTTTTAAAGATTTTATTTGTTTATTTGAGAGCGAGAGAATGAGAGAGAGAAAGCACATGAGAGGGGGGAGGGTCAGAGGGAGAAGCAGGCTCCCCGCCGAGCAGGGAGCCCGATGCGGGACTCGATCCCGGGACTCCAGGATCGTGGCCTGAGCCGAAGGCAGTCGCTTAACCAGCTGAGCCACCCAGGCGCCCCAGGAGAAGTTGGTTTATATGTGTGGTTTCTTCCCATTTTTTTCAACCTCTGTGGCCTACACAAATCATCGCATTTGCTCTTTTAACCGTATGAATTTGAAAGTCAAGGTCATGTGTATCTGGTATGATTTGGGGCCATCACAAAATGAAGTGACCTGATGGCAAATAAAGGATGGTCTATTTTCTAATGTGCCGTGCAACATCACTCGGCTTTATTTTACCCCGTGAATACGTAACTTGTATTTGGACCGGTAACGGGAGGTCCTTCTGGGGAGAGCGCGGGCTGCAGGCAGCTCCGCTTCACCTTTGCAGTTCCGGCGTGAGGAAGACGCGGAAAAGGCCGTGATCGACCTGAACAACCGCTGGTTTAACGGGCAGCCCATCCACGCGGAGCTCTCCCCGGTGACCGACTTCCGAGAGGCGTGCTGCCGCCAGTACGAGATGGGGTAGGTGACGGGTAGGTGGGGGGGGCGCGGGGGGCCGGGCTGGGGGGGCGGCGCGCCACATGTGGGCTCTGCTTCCCCGCAGGGAGTGCACGCGAGGCGGCTTCTGCAACTTCATGCACCTGAAGCCCATTTCCAGAGAGCTGCGGCGGGAGCTGTACGGACGTCGGCGCAAGAAGTGAGTCCTCCCGCGGCCTTGGGCGCCCCGCGGCCTCGCTTCCGTGCCCCTGCTCGAGGAGAGCGTGGCCTCGCTGTGAGAGTCACCGTTGGGGATGCAGGGCGTATTTTAGGGCACGAAGCGTGCTTTTCAAAGACTATCCCACGCACACGTCCTGCGAGCCCTCGGTACCTGGGTGAGGGGCTGGGGGCGGGGAGAGTGGGCTCGTGCGCGCGGGGTGTACTCCCTCAGACGGCGGGACTTGGCGTGCGGAGGGTTTCCTCTGGGGGCTCCTGCTTCGTGTGGGTTTGCTTTGGGGGGAGGGACCACGCGCAGCATCGGGCAGAGTCGGTGTGTCCGGGCCTGGTGTCGAGGGGCAGTCTGTGGGACCACGGAACAGAGGCTGAGCCTGGATGTCAGGAGAGGCCCCTTGCCCGCCTGGCTTGCGTTCTGACCCCGGGGGCTCTCACCCCTCTCCCCTCAGACGGGGACCAGGAGCTGCACACGTTGTTTGGTGATTGTTCCGTTGTCAACCAAGCACGGGAGGGCGGGGGTGGGGGGGTGTGTCTGGGGCACTGTGGTGGGTCCGCAGTCCCCGATCCTGGGAGCTGGCGCCCTGGAAGCGCAGGCCTGGGGGGCGACCTGCCCCGCGATCCTGCCGAGCCCCTCTTTCCCTGACGGGAGCGCGTCTGTGGTGTGGGCGCGCAGTCGCCTGGGAGCGGCTTCCCCGTATCCCGTGCCGTCCCCCCGTCGGGGTGCAGTGTTCAGAAGCGGGGGTCGTTGCGGCTTCGTGGCGGGCTCTGCTGTGGATGCCACAGCTTTGTTTCTTTTTCTTGGTTGCAGGCATAGATCGAGGTCCCGGTCCCGGGAGCGTCGCTCTCGGTCTAGAGACCGTGGCCGCGGCGGCGGCGGCGGCGGCGGCGGTGGCGGCGGGGGACGGGAGCGCGACAGGAGGCGGTCGAGGGACCGTGAGAGATCCGGGCGATTCTGAGCCGTGCCGTTTTTACCGTATGTCTGCTAGACAGTGTTGTAGTTGACTGACCAAACCAGTTCATAACGGGAATTTTTTTTAAAAAACAACAAAAAAAAACAAAGATGGGTTTCTGAATAAAATTTGTAGTGATACAGTACTTTTGGTGCAACTTACTTCTCACGGAAAGTCCCTCACTCTCTCCCTTCGCAGCTGTGCTCATCATCCATCCCGGAGGCGAGGATTAATATCCATCCGTGACTTGGGTGTAAACGAAGCCATGGTTTCAAACTTAGGGTGTGAGGTCCAACCCCCGCACCCGCCATCCACTAAGGGACAGTTCACCCGGGGGACGGTCAGACTTATTACCAGTTCCCTACGTGCTAACTAGCAGTCCGGCATTTCCCCTCCGAGGCTCCTAGGGAGCATGGCACGGGGGGCCGGGGGGCTGCGTGGGCACTCACGGGGGGCTGTTGGGTCGGATGCCGTCTACGGCCCACCCCTCTTACCCGCGAGCTTCCTTGTCTGCTCGCAGAGCCGCCGTGAAGCAGGAGTGCTGCCCAAAACCTGGCTGTGCCCAGAGCTGCAGGAGAGCCCCTGCTCCCATTTCTGTGTCGTCATTGCCGCTGGCTCGGCCCTGGACAGCTGCAGGGACGTCACACGGACTCCCTGCGGCGCAGGGCGGCGGCCCGTGTGCCGTGGGGTGCCGCTGACGGCTTCCCGCCTGCTCCAGGCCCGCGCACGCCCCGGCTGGGGGCGCCTTGTCCCCAGCAGAGACCACATCGCCTGGCACACCGCGGCGTGGCTCTCGGGGACGGACCTGCGCCTGGCGTGGGAGGAGGCACCCCCTGGCCCTGGACCACGCGGGGCATATGTGGGAGGAGATCCTACTTGACCAGGGTTGGGGTTTTTTTGGTGTTTTGTTTTTTCACGA